CAGGATGCCGCTGTCTCCAAGGTCTTGCTCATGGTGGGAACTGTTGGGTCTCTGTAAATAATGTTATAAGGAGTTCGGTCTAGACCTGCTTTATTTTGAAAAGTGTCCTGAGATAACTTCTGTTATGATTTGGTGCTATATAAAATTGAACTGAATTGAAAATGAATCTCTGTGCAGTGTGTTGGTGTCTGATAAACCTTCAAACTCATGGATCTGTTATTCAAACTGGACTTCTCATCAGTACCTAACATGGCGAAGTCTTCTATAGACCCAAATCAGCTATTCTCAATAAACCTGTGACCTTTTTATTATATGTGTTCTGCTTTGCACGACAATCAACTAAAACATAACACTTCTTGTTATATGTCCATAGTTGTGAAGGAATAAATGTGCAGATGCAGGGAGACACAGATAGGACTGATGCTGAGAGGAAGGCAGTGGACGTATGCCCACTCATGCAGTCTCTCTCTCCACAGTCACAGCTTAAAGAGACAAAGAGCTGAGAGAAGCAGAGAGATGACTCAGCATCATCGTGACCTCGACAGAACTGCCTCAGTGACGCGTATGTGTGTGCGTGTTCAGTGACTGCATTGTGTTGCTCAACATATAGACTAAAGACTAAAGTACAAGATAGAGACAGTGAAGGAAGGATGTGTGTGTGTGTGTGTGTGTGTGTGTATGTGTGTATGAAGGGGTGGGTATGTTTGGGTGCAGTCATTACGTCAGAGAACATCTAGAATAGTTTGTATGCGTCATGAGAGCGAGGAGAGAGGGTGGGGTGGCTGTATTTCTTATATGAACACAACTGACTGTAGTAATGCAGTAAAACCCTGGAACGACTGTGAATCGTCAAACTAAAAAGTTGGGAATGACAGAGGCACCATTCACCCTATTACAACTCAGTTGAGCATCAAAATGAATTTGAAGCAGTTATTTTAAGGTAGAGAAGTTACATAATGTTGCTTTGAATTTGTCTGTCACCTTTGTGTGCTACAGGAAGGTCGCAGGCTATAAACTATGATTGGTACCATGGCTATTGATAGTAATGTGTAGTAGTACACAGTAGTATTGTTTGCTTTACACAGGTGTCATGCATGCAGGTTTTAAGTTCTTCCTCTGTCAAAAAAAGAAAAAACTCACAAAACTCAGTCAGTTCAAAAATGTAAATGTATACTGGTATTAGAGCTTTGATTCTCTGCCAGAACCTGATTGGACTCAACATGGTTGGCCCCAGGTTTGGGCCCAGAACAGGTGCCATACATCAGGGTCAGGTTGGGCTCAGGTTGGGCTGGGACAATATATGAATATATATATATACATGTAATATTTTATTAATTATACATGCAACTGTAATTAATGAGTACATTTGTTTACTTCTGTAAACTTTACAGCAGAAATAAATGTTTACAGCCTGATACAAAAAACTGTTTTGGTCTCTATAGCTAATTTCCCCGTTCATTACAACTGCACAGGGGGTGAATTTTTACATAACTCACCTGTTTAAATTACATTAAGGCTTAAGGTTATGCATATTTCAGGCCATGCCCGCTTTGAGTGACAGGTGGGTGCCATCACAGGTGGCTGGTTTCAGTAACCAGGCTTCATTCAGCACGCCTCAGATTGTCGGGAGCCGACCACAATGAGCTTCACAATGACTCTTCAGAAACCTTTGGTTGACGTTCACTTTTGTTAATACAGTCTATGATACAACCAAGGGCAGCCACTCTTGGCCCAAATGCTCACACACCTGCCCAGTGTGCCCGGACTGGTAATAAGAATCAATGTAAATGAAAGGTCAGCAGGCACCTTTTCACGAGTTCCTGAAGCCTGCTGGCTCGTTGCATTCTGTCAGTTCATAACAACTAGCAGACACAGTCTTCATTAAATCTTCTTGAATGCCTGATGAATGGATGAGTTCATTAAGCGCAGCCTTTCTTTTGTTTCTTTGGCAAGCATCCATGTCAAAACAGTGGTAATGGCCTCTGAGGTGATCTAAGTGGAGAGTATTTTGTGTCTCCACTGAGTTCATGGACTCCTTTGAGTTCAGTGGCGCTCCTCACTGAGAGTACTCGTGTCAGCTCAGACATGGTTCACAGTACTTCCTTGTTAAAAGCTGATCGTAAAGCGTCTTGTAGACTTGCCGCTTCAGACCTGTCGCGCGACAATGTGACGTCACAGGAGTGCCGTAACTATACTTGCGCTGGTGGTCACGACACTATCTAGTGCATCTTCTCCTGAAACGAGTGTCGCAAACTGAGTAAATGTTACCGACTTTGCGTATTTCTATGGCACTAGAAAGAAGAAGAAGAAAAAGGTAAAACATAGGACTCTTTTTGATTTTCAAAATCGTCGCGGAGTTCTTCCAAATTTTCCGGCATATGGCCTCCCTTTTTTACCAACCAATTCAAATGGCGATTTCTCGCCCAGAAAAATGTGGAAAAATCTTCCTGTGCCCTCAATGAAAGGAATCCGTAAGATCCTAGAAACCGCTCTTTTGCCGGAGCTCCGTCGATTTCTTTGTGGGCCAAACATTCCTGCTTTCAGTACTAGATAATTAATAAGAGGTTGTTAGGCGCCGAACCTTGTGAACAACTCGTCAAAGTCTTGAGCTTGCCTCTTATCAATAACATTTCCATCATATAAA